TTTTTTTTAAGATACAGAGTCTTGCTCTGTCACCCTGGCTGGAATGCAGTGGTATGATCATGGCTCACTGCAGCCTCAAACTTCTGGGTTCAAGTCGTTCTCCTGCCTCAGCTTCTGAGGAAGCTGGGACTACACCATGCCCAGCTCATTTTTTAATTTTTTGTAGAGACAAGCTCTCGCTGTTGCTCAGTCTAGCCTTGAACTCCTGGGCTCAAGTGATCCTCCTGCCTCAGCCTCCCAAAGTGCTGGGATTACTCAGCACCTGTCTTGGTAATAGAAATTTCTGCAACTGCAAGGAGGCCTTGAAAGTCTACATGAAGCACTGCAACCTGGATCATTCAGCTAGAGGATGAGGGATGAATAGCAGACAAATGTGTCTTAGTTCAGAGGCAGCTTTGGGGACCATGCCTCTACCAGCAAATACTTCAAGTCATTTGCATCTCGAACAAAAGTCAAAACCCAAAAGAACATTGTCACTAGCTCTGACTTTCAGGTAATCCCTACAGACAATTGGTGATGAAATGATTGTTAGATGTGCCTTAATCAGATTTTTCTTCTACTCACAGATAACATCTAAGAACACTACTCTCTTTGCTTTTACTGTTCAAAATTTTAGGTTTACATTTAGAGTGCACTCTCAGCAAAATGTTAAAAGTCCTTAAAACACCATTGGCTCATCCAGTTACTAGCCCCACATTTGGCTTCACTTTATTTTTTCAATCTCTTATCCAATTGCTTGACTTACTTATATTCAATTACATCTTATCTTGTCACATGCTATATGTTTTTATAAGTTGTCCCACATCCTTTTTAGAAACAAGGAGGGGGACTTCCAGTAAGATAGCGACAGGACAGTTTGGTCCGTGACACCCTCAGTGAAAGAGAACACCTATAAAGACTCTTGACACCTCCCCCCGACCCCTGCCTGTGGCTCTCATCATTGGCAGCCTGCTCTTCATATGCTGCTCTGCCACCACCTCAGCTGCCACCTCAGACACCGCTGCCACTGCCACTGCCACCACCGCTGCCACCGCCTCTGCCATCACCCCACTCCTGCCTGAGGCAACCCACAGCTCCCAGAAAGCCCCTCCCCAAGCACCACACTACTGAAGCTCCATGAAGCCCCTCCCCAAGTACCACACTACTGAAGTGGCAGCCACCGCTGCCACTGCCATGCCCCACCCATCACCTGGAGCCAGGCTCGTGGAGCTTCTCCCATGCACCACTGAAGTGGCAGCTGCCACCGCAGCTACCATTGCCTGCTCCCTCCCGCCCTGGGCGGCCTCCAACTTCCACCCAGCCCAGTCTGAGTAGCCCAGTGCTATGCTGGCCTGCATTGCCCAGCAGTCTCGAGCTGCAGCAGAAAAAGAGAACAACTGGAGCCATGAGACCAGCTCCACCCAACTCAGCATCAAAGGCAACAACATCAAAATGGGAGGGACAGAAGCCCCTCCCCCATGCTAAATAGACATAGGCCAGAGTGGCAGATTTGGCATGCAGCCCAGATCTGAATAACCCTCCACAGCAGGCCAGGGGCAACTGACCCTAACTGTGAAAAACTCTACCAGCCTGCAATGACAGCTACAAATCAGAGCTGAAAGGACAATAGACAAAGGAAAAGTCTCAGACTGTACTTGGTTTGTTTTAATTTTTTTTTAATTCTTTGTCCATTTGTCTTATCCATCTTTTTTTCTGTTTTCTTTCTCCTCTTACTGTTATCAATAACGTCTTCATACTTACTTTGGTTCTGCTCGTTTACTGACTTTATTCTATTCTATTTTTTTTTTCTCTTTAGACCTCAAGTTTGTATAGGTGAAAAGTACACCAATAAGGAGTTTGGTTAGTTTGTATGTCTGTATGATTGTATGTTTTAGTTTCTTCTTATGTTTGTTTGTTTTTGTTATTGTTTTTCTTTTTACTCATATCTGTCTTTGTGTCACTTTTCATTTGTTAGTCAGTCTGTCTTCCCTCTTACTCCTTACTCTCTCCACCTCCCTCTTCTCCCCACTCCCTGGTCCATTATTTTCCCTTTTCTTGCCTTATTTTACTTTCAGGAAGTAAACCTATAATCCCACTGCATAGACAGATTGCAAGGCAGTGGGAAGTGGGTTCCAGATTATCCATACACCTGTCAGTAGATACTGGGATCTGCAGATAGATTATTAATCACAGCTCCCCCCTCAATTAAATCTCAAAGCTGCAAAAAGAATTGCCCCCAACCTACAGTCCAGCTCCAGAATTGAACAAAGCCAGAGGATATACATAAGGAAGAATAAGAGATTGAACAAACAGAAGAAAAAGCAGTCCCTCCACCCCCTGAACATCAGTATTGAAGAAGACGGGGGGGAGGAAAAAGTGGGGAAGAAAATCTACCCAAATGATGAAAAACCAAAAGAAGAATATAGGTCTCACACAGACCCCTGGGAGATCAGACACTGAGAAAATAGACTTCGGAACGCAAACAATGAAGAGCCACCAGAATGACTGGTTACATACAACAAACCCAGACATCAAGACATTAATGAGAGAATGAAAATAATTGAGGAGAGACAAGATGACAATAGGAAGGAGCTGATAACTGAAATAACAGCAGTAAAGAATACTGTGATTGAAATAAATAACAAACTAATAAGCATGGAAAGCAGAACTAGCCAAGCAGAAGAAAGAATCTCAGAGCTTGAAGACCAAAATACAGAACTAACCAAAACTGTCAAAAACATTGAAAAGAAGCTTTAAAAGACAGAACAAAATCTTTAAGAGATGAACAATTACTTCAAGAGACTGAACCTAAGAGTAATTGGACTTCCTGAGGCAGAAAGAGAGACAGAGACAACCCTGGAGCAAACATTCCATGAAATTATCCAAGAAAACTTTCCTCATCTCATCAGTGATGCAAAAATTCAAACACAAAAGAAAGAGAACCCCTGCAAGACAACAAATGAGAAGACCAACTCCCAGACATATAATTCACCCAAGCCGGGCTCGGTGGCTCAGCCTATAATCCCGCGCCTTTGGGAGACTGAGGTGAGTCGATTGCCTGAGCCCACGGGTTCGAGACCTGCCTGGGCAGCGAGACCTCATCTCTACAATAAATCAAAAAATCAGCTGGGTGTGGTAGCGCATGCCTGTAATTCCAGCTATTTGGAAGGCTGAGGTGGAAGGATCACCAGAGCTCAGCAGGTCGAGGCTGTGGTGGCCAGGAGTGGCCACTGCACTCCAGTCTGGGTGACAGAGTAAGACTCCAATTCAAATTTTAAAAATAATAATAATAATAATTCGCCTAAACAAAGTAGTTATAAAAGAAAAAAATCATAAAGGCAGCAAGAGAAAAAGTTCAGACTATCTACCAGGGAAGACCAATTAAAATAGCAGCAAATTTATCTATAGAAAACCTTCAAGCTAGGAGAGCTTGGAGCCCAATCTTCAAAGTTCTCAAAGGTAAACAATTTCAGCCAAGAATAAACTACCCAGCCAAGCTAAGCTTCATCAGTGAGGGAGAATTAAAATCTTTCCTAGACATCCAATCCCTAAGAGCTTATGCTGTCTCCTGACCACCTCTACAAGAAACACTTAAGAAAATATTAAACACAGAAGAAAAGGAGAAAAGAATGACAATGCTCTTCACAAGAGTACAGAGGAAAGATGGAAAACACACATGAATCAACCCAAAAACCACAGGAAAGACAACAAATAAACAGCAACAACAACAACTCTATAAGAACCTCATGACAGGGATAAACCCCCACATTTCAATAATTAACCTGAATGTGAATCGACTAAATGCACCACTGAAAAGACACAGAATGGTGAGCTGGATAAGAAACCATGACCCCATTATTTGCTACATTCAGGAGACTCATCTCACTACAAGGGATGCACACAGACTCAAAGTTAAAGGATGGAAAATGAGTTTCCAGGCAAATGGATCACAAAATAAGGCAGGAGTTGCAATCTTAATATCAGACAAAATAACCTTTAAGCTATCAAAAATTTTAAAAGATGCAAAAGGATACTACATAATAATAAAAGGTTTAATCCATCAACAAGAAATATCCATCCTAAACATATATGCACCTAACACAGGAGCACCAACATTTATTTAAAAACTACTAAATAAAGTAAAAAAAGATATTGACTCTAACACTATTATAGCAGGGGACTTAAATATCCCACTGACAGCCCTAGATAGATCATCGAGGCAAAAAATCAACAAGGAGATCCAGAGCCTAAACTTGACACCTGAACAAATGGACTTAATGGATACCTACAGATTATTCCACCCAACAACCACAGAATATACATTCTACTCATCACCACATGGAGCATACTCTAAGATTGACCACATCCTTGGCCATAAATCAAGCATAAACAAATTCTATAAGTGGAAGTCTTGTCATGTACATTCTCAGACCACAATGGAATAAAAGTAAATATCAAAACCAAAACATTTCCCTAAAGCCCACAAAGACATGGTCACTAAGCAGCATGATGCTGAACAATGACTGGGTCAACACTGAAATCTAAAAAGAAATAGAAAGATTCCTGGAAACAAATGAAAATGAGAAAACATCTCACCAAAACCTCTGGGATGCCATGAAATCAGTTTTAAGAGGGGAATTTATATCTCGACAAGCACACATCAAGAAAATGGAAAGATCACAAGTGGAGAACCTAACAAATCACCTAAGTGAGCTAGAAAGAGAAGACCACCAAAACCCCAACTTTAGCAGAAGAATCGAAATCACAAAAATAAGAGCCCAAATACAGGACATAGAGGACAAAAATACCATAGAAAACATCAACAAAACATAAAGCTGGTTCTTTGAAAGAATTAACAATATTGATGGGCCCCTAGCCAGAATGACCAAGAAAAAGAGAGAAAAAGCCCAAATAAACACAATCAGAAGTACAAAAGATCAAATCACAATGACCTCGAAGAAACACAAAAGATTATCAGAGATTACCATGTACACCTATATGGAAACAAACTTGATAACCTGGATGCAATAAAGGACTTTCTGACATCACACAGGTTAAAACAAAAAGACACTGAGACACTAAATAGACCAAAAACAACCCAGAAGATTAACTCTGTCATACGAAAACTACCTACCAAAAAAAGCCCTGGACCAGATGGCTTTCCAGCAGAATTCTACAAAACGTACAAGTAGGAGCTGATACCAATCCTACTGAAAGTATTCCAGGCAATTGAGAAAGATGGACTTCTCCCCAAATCATTTTATGAAGCTAACATTACACTGATACCCAAACCGGGTAAAGATCCAACAAAGAAAGAGAATTACAGGCCAATATCCCTGATGAACATAGATGCAAAAATTCTCAACAAGATTCTAGCAAATCATATCCAAAAACACATCTCAAAAATCATCCACCATGACCAAGTAGGCTTCATCCCCAGGATGCAGAGCTGGTTCAACATTTGTAAGACCATAAATGTCATTAAATACATCAACAGATGTAAAAACAAGAACCACATGATTATCTCATTAGATACAGAAAAAGCTTTTGATAAAAATCCAGCATCCCTTCTTGATAAAAACCCTCAAACACCTAGGTTTAGAAGGAACATACCTCAAAATAGTAAGTACCATCTACAACAAGCCTACAGCTAACATACTGCTAAATGGACAGAAACTAGAATCATTTCCTCTGAAAATTGGAAGACAAGGTTGCCCACTCTCACCCCTCTTGTTCAATATTGTGTTGGAAGTCCTAGCTCAGGCAATTAGACAAGAGAAGGAAATCAGGGGTATCCAAATAGGAAAAGAGGAAGTCAAGTTATCCCTGTTTGCTGATGATATGATCCTATACCTTGAAAATCCAAGAGAATCTGTCAAAAACCTGCTTGCACTGATAAAGGACTTTGGGACAGTCTCAGGGTACGAAATAAATGTGCAAAAATCAGTTGCATTCCATTACACCAACAACAAGCAGGCAGAGAGTCAAATAAAAAACACAATCCCATTCACAATAGCCAACACAAAAATGAAATACCTCGGCATCTTCCTAACCAGAGAAGTGAAAGACCTTTACAATGAAAATTGCAAAACACTGCTTAAAGAAATCCAAGAAGACACAAACAAATGGAAATATATTCCATGCTCATGTATAGGACGAATCAACATTGTTAAGATGTCCATCCTAGCAAAGGCAATCTACAGAATCAATTCAATACTCATTAAGCTACGAAGATCATTCTTCTCAGACCTGGAAATGACAATACAGAAATTGATATGGAAACATTAACGACCACAAATAGCTAAAACAATCCTTAGCAAAAGAAACAAAGCAGGAGGTATCACACTTCCAGACTTCATACTTTACTATAAGTCTACAGTAAACAAAACAGCTTGGTATTGGTACAAGAACAGGCACATAGACCAATGGAATAGGGTAGAGATTCCAGAAGCAAAGTCTCAATTCCTCAACCAACTCATCTTTGACAAAGCTTCCAACAACAACCACTGAGGAGAGGAGAATCTATTCAGTAAATGGTGCTGGGAAAACTGGCTGACCACATGCAGGAGATTGAAACAGGACCCCTACCTATCACCATACACAAAAATTAACTCTAAATGAATCAAAGACCTGAATTTAAAACCTCAAACTAAAAGAATCTTAGAAAATGCAGGAGACACCCTTATGAAAATTGGAACTGGGAACCAATTCCTATTCAGAACCCTAAAGGCCCACACCTTAAGAAATAAAATAGACAAGTGGGATCTCATCAAATTAACGAACCTCTGCAAAGCAAAAGAAACCATCAAGAAAGCAGGGAGACGGCCCCCAGAATGGGAAGATATATTTGCCAACTGTTTATCCAACAAAGGCCTAAGATCTAGGATCTACAAGGAATTCAAACACACCAAAAGGAAAAAAAAAAAAGCCCCTTTAAAAAGTGGGCAAAAGGTGTTCACAGCCGCTGCCCTGCCGTCATTGCTCTCCAGTGCCAGCGCTGCCTGTAGATCGCCGAGCTCCAGCCCAAGGAGAGGCGGGTAAGTAAGAAGGTCTCTGTACCATGGCTCGTACAAAGCGGACTGCCCGCAAATGGACTGGTGGTAAAGCACCCAGGAAGCAACAGGCTACAAAAGCTGCTTGCAAGAGTGCGCCCTCTACTGAAGGAGTGAAGAAACCTCATCATTACAGGCCTGGTACTGTGGCACTCCGTGAAATTAGACGTTATCAGAAGTCCACTGCACTTCTGATTCACGAACTTCCTTTCCAGTGTCTGGTGCGAGAAATTGCTCAGGACTTCAAAACAGATCTGCGCTTACAGAGTGCAGCTACTGGGGCTTTGCAGGAGGCAAGTGTGGCCTATCTGGTTGGCCTTTTTGAAGACACCAACCTGTGTGCTATCCATGCCAAACGTGTAACAATTATGCCAAAAGACATCCAGCTAGCACAGCGCAAAGGTGGAGAGCATGCTTAAATCCACTAAGATGGGAAACATTTCATTCACCAAAAAAAATTCTCTTCTTCCTGCTATTGGTAGTTCTGAATGTGAGATATTTTCCCCCCATGGGGTCAAAAGGTACCTAAGTATATGATTGTGAGTGAAAAAATAGGGGACAGAAATCAGGTATTAGCAGTTTTTCCATTTTCATTTGTGTGTGAATTCTTAATATAAAAGTGGGGATGTAAAGCATTAATGCAAGTCAGAATGTTTTAGTGAACAAGTTTCAGCGGTTCAACTTTATAACAATTATAAATAAACCTGTTAAATTTTTCTGGGCAATGCCAGCATTTGGATTTTTTTTAAACAAGTAAATTCTTATTGATGGCAACTAAATGGTGTTTGTAGCATTTTTATCATACGATAGATTCCAACCATTCACTATACTTTTCTAACTGAGTTGTCCTACGTGCAAGTACATGTTTTTAATGTTGTCTGTCTTCTGTGCTGTTCCTGTAAGTTTGCTATTAAAATACATTAAACTAAAAAAAAAAAAGTGGGCAAAAGAATAAATAGACACTTCTCAAAAGAAGATATACAGGCAGCCAACAGACACGTGAGCCTCACTCTTCATCAGAGAAATGCAAATCAAAACCACATTGATACCTCCTAACCCCTGAAAGAATGGCCATCATTAATAAACCAAACAACAACAGATGATGGCGAGGATGTGGAGAACAAGGAATGCTTCAACACTGCTGGTGGGAATGCAAACTAGTGCAACCTCTTTGGAAGACAGTGTGGTGATTTCTGGAAGAACTAGAAATTGACCTTCCATATTATAACCCAGCCATTTCCCCATTGGGAATATACCCGAAGGAACTCAAATCATTCTACAAAAAAGATACCTGCACACGTATGTTTGTTGCAACTCTATTCACAACAGCAAAAACATGGAACCAACCATGTTGCCCATCAGAGCTGGACTGGATGAAGAAAATGTGGTACATATACACAGTGGAATATTATGCAGCCATAAAGAAGCAAATATATGGACTTTGCATCAACTTGGATGGATTTAGAGTCGATCATACTCAGTGATCTATCACAGAAACAAAGAACAGAGTACCATATGTTCTCAATCATAAGCAGAACTTGAACAATTATAATACTATAAGAAAGCATTTGGCAGTAATGGGAAACTGTTGGGGGGGGATTGGCAGTTGAGGGAAACTGCTAGGGGAGGGAGAGGCATACCTCATCAATAAGGGTACCTGCATGATCAATGTTTGTATACGTATCCCTGAGATGTACCCCACATCTTTATAATTAAAAGAAAAGAAAAGAAAAGAAACAAGGAGAGAGACATAATGAAAAGGAGAGGGGAAATGAAGAGAAGGTGGGAAAGAGAGTGTTCTAGAACAGCGGCAGTCCACACTCTCCAACTTTACTCAACATTCAAATTACCTACTTATTACAGATGCTAGTCTTGGAAATACAGACATCATGTCATCTCAGGTTAGTCATAACTCACTGCTGTGCTTTTCTAAAAATGTGTTTTACTGATTTAGGAAATAAGACTAAATAGCCCTACTTTTTCAACTTTGAAATATAAAATAAGGTGAGCAAGGGGGTAAAAATTCTTTCTTTTTTTTTTTGAGAAAGCACGATTTATTGAGAGGACAGAAAAGCTCCCACAGTGAGAAGGGACCCAAAGGAGTTGCCCAGTATTTCTTTCTTTAGCAACCTCCCTGCTATACTTACTGCACTGTGTTGTCCTTGTATATTAGTCTAGCTTCCCTAAAAGACAGATGTCTCTTGCCCATCACAATATCCTTGCACTGGTCACCAGTCAATACATTTTTGTTAAATGAATGAATATGGACCACAAAAAGACATATATGTTGGGGGATGCAATCATGCCTGAAGCAGAGCCTCAGCTCTCTGGAATTCAAAGGCTAACAAAAGAATAAAACACATATATACATAGATTCAAGTGATTGTTATATAAGATAAGGGGTGATAGATATATAAATGGTAGAGAAAATAAGTGTTATAGGAATCCCAAGATTAAATAATTTTCTCTTAGAAAAGCATTTGGGGAAGGATTCATGGAAAAAGTACACAACACCAGCTGGAGGCAGCAGAGCACATTGCTTTCATGCAGTGAAAACCTCACAGGAGCAAAGGAAAAATGAAAAAACACAAATGTTCAGGAGACAAGTTAACTAAAGAGATGAGTTGGAACTGGGATGGCAATGATGATTGACATGAGAGAGATGATTGGCTATTTCCAACATCCATCATTTCCTTCTTCCTTCATAACAACTCTATTTTAGCTGGTGCCCTTGCTCCCAACTAAGAGACAATTTTCCATCCTATCTAGACATTACTTGTATCCATGGAATCATGTCCTGGCCAACAGAATATAATCTGAAGTGTTATATGAGACTTTCAGCAAAGCTCTGTAAACAGAAAGGGGCATCCTCTTCTTCTTTCATGATGTGTCTAGTGCTCATTTGTGTGGACTGAATTCTTAGCAGCTTCTAGGATCATGAGAATAAGACAAATAACTTAAGAATGGTGAGACCTAGAAGGAGCCTTTGATCTTTTAAGGCCTCATAGAGCCACACCCCAGCCATGGACTGCCTACTTCTTGTCTTGTTTTACAGGAGAAAAAATAACTTCCATATTGTTCAACATGCTATCATATTGGGTTTTATGTTATATGAAGCCAAACCTAATCATAACTGTTACATTTAGAAAGATGTGTTAGCACAACACACACAACAAGCAAAAAATATAAACTTATTCCTTCAAGTTGTTTAGTTAATTTTTCCATGCATCACTTTCATTACTTTCCTAAACCCAGATGACACAGCTCTGCTACATTTGAGTAATGTTTAACACAAACATAGCCCCTGAGAAATCATCCCAATAGCATCATCAAAAGCAATTTTCCAGTATCTGATTTTGGTGGAAATCATCAAGATTTTTGCTTTGGCATGTCACTGTGATAGTAAGGCGGGGTTGCAGCATGGAATTATCAAGACATAGCAACCAAGTCAGCTTCAAAGCATGTAATAGTTCCAGTAGAGATGAGGTCAAGGGTAGGGGAGGATGTGATACTGAACTTAACCAACAAGGCAATGAGCTGCCCATCTCCAAGAAGATGTAAGCCTTGGATTAAAATCATATGAACACTGCATAAAAAGGTACAATTATGCAGCAAAACAAAAATCCTTATATTTACTTGCAAAGCAAAATCTGTTGCCTTCTAAATAAATACAAGAGAGAAGGTTCTGTAATAGAAGCTCCCCAAAGTATAAAAAAATAACGTAGGACACAGTGGTAGACAAATCAGAGTCTGGGAAAGATTATAAGCAGCACGGTAACAGCAACCAACCGCTAAGTGAGGAGATGAGCAGATTCCACCTGATTAATCACCTAGCTCCCACTTCCTGGGGGACTTGGGAGGCCTCAGAAAGTAGGTCAGCATTTGCCAGTGACACTCTCTAAGGGCCCCTTTTGAAAGCTGGGGATGACAGCAGAGCGAGAAGGGCAGCATTGCCTCTGACTGCACTCCAGCTGAACATTCTGCTTACTCAGTTCATGCTGAACCCAAAGTCCAACCTCATCTTCTCTTTGGTTTCTTACTCATTATACCCATCACCAAAAACATCCATCAACAAAATCCGCACCTTTTTTTTACTATATTTCACAAGCATTTACACATATACCCTTTGATCCTAATAACAATTCAAATGGGAAAACTGAGTCCCAAAGAGTTCCATTTAATTGACAACCCTCAGTGATGCTGGACAAGTTGCTAATTAAAGGGAATAAGATAGGGAAAAGGAGAAAGAAGAACCTTCACCAACAATGACAGAGGCCAGAGAGTGCAAGGTACACTCCAAAAACAGTGTGCTGATTTGGACAAGTATCACTTATCAGATACTTATCAGAGAAGAAGAAAGAAATCGGGATGGAAGAGTAGGTGGGTCCAAACATGGTGGGACTCAAATGCCAGGCAGAGACCTTGTGTTTTGATTCAACGTAAAGTCAATGAATGTATCTGTGCAAGCCAAGTACATGCCTTCAGAACTGGCCTTAAGGAAATGAATCTGACAGCAATGTGTAGGCTGTCTGCAAGTGGAAAAGTCTGAGTCTAGACATAAACTTTAGGAAAAAGTTTATAAGATGACAAGGACAATTTCCTCTCTCCCACTCACATACCAGCAATTTTTTTTTTTTTTATAACCAAAGCTATTCCTAAATGGAGGTTTCTTTGTCTTGTGAATTTTAAGCCTGCCAGGCTGTGCTTCTACACAGCTGCCTGTGCAGTTCCTGACTCGTCCAAGAAGCCCATGTGCACACCACTTAGGGGATTCTGCTCCTCCTGCAGCTGCCCACTGTCACCGCAAAACACATATGCGTGACTGTTGACAGAAAGTAATAACCCTTCCTACAGCTGTCAAATAAATTGCCTATTAACAGTCCCACACTATAATTCATGTCAGATCATGTAGATTCAGCCCTTATGAATGACTGGGAAAATCTTATCATTAAATGAAGTTCTATAACAAATCCCTAAGCACTTTCTTGTTATTTCCAGCTCATTCCTCCTTCCGGCTCATTTCTGAACTTTCTGAGAGCTGGCAGAATCAAAGATAAGCAAAAAGTTCATACTCTCTCTACACCATTCCTCTGGGGAAGGGCCTCTTGGGTCCTTGGGATCTATATTTTAGAACCACAATTTAAATGCAGATTTTTAACTCCCATGTTGAACAACCAAGAAGGAGCTTCTGACTTGATTAAAATACTGATGCATAAATTTTATACTTAACATTTTTCTTCTATAGCATGAACCCAACTAAGTGGAGATGTTTTTAATGAACTTTCAAGTCATGCATGAAGTCTCAAAGAAGTTTATTTTCTAGATAAGTTTTCCAAGTCTTAAAGGAACAGAGTTCTGCCACTTTTTAAATGGCATTTTTAATCACATCTCTTACTGATATATGTCCATAAGCTAATGG